ATGATGACTTTGAGTCTTTGAAAAGTCACGCAGTTCTAAGTTAGACTAACATCTATCATCAGAGAAAGTTTCATAACAATGGCTTCAGCCATTCTTGAGATATCCTGCGAACAAAATTGAGGAAGAATAATAATAATTTCTTCTATACAGACACAAAATAAATACTAGACTTTAATTCGTCACTTAGACGAATTAGGTGATACGTATGATAATGGTTTACATAACGAATAATGCATTACACGATATATTATTTTGTAAAATGCTTCTCCCATTCATATGCTTCTCCCATTATGATCTATTAATATGTCAAGATTAAATTGTGTCTCCTTGATCATCATGGATCTAGGGAAGATAGATTGAAACAATATATGACCTTTGAACCTGTGCAGTAACCAGTTACACATTTGACTCTAATTTACATCATGAAGAACACCTTTTGACGATTTTATCTTATTCAAAGAAATGAAAATGTAATTGATAAATGATTATCATCATTATGATAATGATGATCATGATGATCATGATCATGATCATGAGCGCGATCATGACATCTTATTGAAAAAATGAGGGTTGATTTAGATAGCATATAGTCTAAGCTACAACATACTAAAAAATCAACAAAATCCAAGCCGAAATAACGGCGATATTGCTCGCAAAAGACAGGAATGTAGACTCCAGATTTTAGAAAAAGTCATCTCCCTTAGGGATTACACGCAAAAAGTAATGGATTAAGTGAAAATAGGGTAATAATAAAGTAAAAAGGGTTATTTATGACATTATTTGCGAATCTACGTGTTTAAATAATCAAAGGAGATGGTACAGTGAAGGTCAAAAGGAAAAAAAAGTGAAAAAAAAGTGTTGGAGACACCCGGACTCGAACCAGGGATCTCGAGGTTGGAAGTCAAGTGCGTTACCGATATACCAAAACATCTCCCATAGCGATTACACGTAAACGGGATATGGAATTCAGAAATCCTACTTTGCAAGTAAAATATGAGCATGATCCCGGCATCTAATCGAAAAATAAAAGACACACTTTTGATAGCTCATTGTCTCAGCTACAACATATTCGAAGCTCAGCGAAAACAAAGCTAAAACAACGGAGATTTTGCTCGCGAACGACAGGAGTGTAGAATCCAGTTTTGAGAAATAGTCATGTCCCATAGACAATACACGCAAAATGTGAAAAATTGACATGCCTCCTTTAATCGCAAAAATACACCATGATACTTTTGTCAAAAATAAAAATTGTGAATACTACATTTGTAGAAAATTGTCTCAGCTAGAACATATCAAAATTAAAAAGAAAATTGATCAATATTTTCAGAGATACAATCAATTTTCCAAAAATATGCTGACGTCATAATATGCAAATTAAAATTTTGAGTTTGGATGCCATTATGATGACGTCATGAGTTAATTGAGGATAAAATGAGACATGAAATCATATCTCCGACTCATAAGCTATCTTAATATGAAAAAATATTAGGAGTTTCTATCTATTCTAAAGAGTTACAATGAATGTCATATAGGCATGTTTTTGCCCATGTATTGTGGATAAAGATAACGCAAATCCGCGCGTGCTGTCAACTTTGACGGACGCTCATTGCGTTAATAAAAGGTGAACAAATTATCAAAATGCTTGGAAAAATGTACCAAATATGATGACAGAAAAAAATCGGCGATTCTATGTTGCAAAATGCCAGTACGCGCGAAAACGCGCGCGCATGCGCGTGCGCGTAATTTTTTCATCAAATGCTCAATATGGCCTGAAACGTATGCAAAAAAAATTTGGGATGATTTAGAGCATTTTAATTTTTTGCGCGCGCGTAAACGCGCGGACGAGCGCGCACGCGCGCATTTACGAACGTTTATTGACTTGAAATTGACCGGACGGATATTGATCTTAATCATGATAAATATGAATGAAAAATTACTATTCGTTATGAAGATATGATCATTAGTTGATTTTCACAAAATGGCGCCTGGATGACGTCACGATAATTTTGAGTCTTTTTTTTTTTTTTTTTTTTTTTTTTTATGTGTTTTATTGGTTTTCAAGATACAAATCAACACATGAATCAAAGAAATCAATTTGAAAAAAAAAAAAAAAAAAAAAAAAAAAAAAAGCAGCAATACAAAAATGTTAACATAGAATTGTCGCCAGAAGAATAAGACAAAATGATTTTCATTCATAAAAAAAGACATGTTAGGTGTTTTCCGCGTTACTTATATAACAAACATGGTACATAGTACATTGTACAGGGTATTTTTTTTTTTAAAGCATGTTAAAAGCAAAAATACAATTTGCAAAGGAGCTCAAAGGTAACATATTCAAATGTTAAATCTCCATTTCCGAAAATGAATAGGGAGTTTGTTATTTTTTTTGGCAATACAATACTCGAGTTCTTTATTGGCCGTAATATAGCATTTATAACCTTCGAAGTTTGGTGGTTTGCTTTGGAATTTGCATATATAAATATAATATTTAAGTAAAAGAAACAAATATGTAAGGAACCTATCAGATTCGCAACCGAACATTTTTTCAAATGTTGAGACATTTAGAGGTTTATTAGTTTTCTGAATAATAGCTTTAACAGTTTCATCCCAAATAGGCTTAACATTAGGACATTCAACAAAAATGTGACTATATGTCTCAGGGTCAGTATTACAAAATGAACAATTGGGGGAGACCTTCCTTTTAATTTTATACAAAAACTCATTCAAACCTATAGCTCTATGAAATAACTTAAAGTAGAAAGAGCGAATACGAGTACTTATAGTGCATTTAAAGTTATTCACATGAGTCTTTTCCCAATCAACTTCGTCAGGTTCTTGGAGGTCATTCCAAAATAAGATTTGACGTTCTGGAGAACATGACTCTAGCATTGTACTGTATGCATATTTTGGAATTTTTAGAGTTTTCAAGAGCTTAGTTTTAACGTCATCAAATATTTTGTCAGGGGTTAAGTCAGAAGTGACTAGCAAGTCATTTGGTATATTTCTCAATAAAAAATTGTATTTCCGCCTGTCTTTTTTACCAATATCATAATCCAGAATAAGCTCTTCAAAAAGTTTATTACCTGGGTGGGGAGGGTTGAGTAAATCACTGATATAGACAATTCCTTTGTCCAACCAATCTTCATATAAAAAATAATGTTTTGATTTTGAACAGATATTTCTGTTAAACCAAATACACTGACAAGAGCCAATTGCGGAAAAGACTGTACCGAACTCAGTTTTAGCAAAATTTTCTCTAAATATATACCATGTTTGAAGGGATTCAGCTAATTGACATGAACCTAATTTGTTTAATATACTTTGAGGAGCATATGCTTTCCATAGTATATCCTCTCTGCTACTGAAATTATTTAAAATAGACATTTCAATGGACTTCCACACGCTTTGATATTTATCATCAAGAAGCATTTTGACCCATGACATTTTTTGAGCAATAGAGAATGTGTATGGATCTATCATTTTTAAACCACCCAAAGAGTAATCATTACACATGAGCCTTCTTTTGACCCTATCACTGCCACCATTCCATATAAATTTATACAGTATTGTATTTAACTGTCTAAAAAATTTCTTAGGTATTTTAATACACAACACAGAAAAAAAATAAAGAACTTGTGGCAGCAATAGGGTCTTTACGACACAGATCTTCCCGACCAGAGATAAATTTCTTGCGCGCCAACAATTTAGGGTGTTTTCAATGGATTTGAGTTTTATCTTATGGTTAAGGTCATATAAATGATCTGTGGTCAAAGAAAAGTGAATGCCTAAAGTCTTAAAAGTAAATTTATTCCACTTCAGACCTTTCTCACAAAATGGATACCTTTGACAACCCTTCAAAGAACCAATCCATATTGCCTCTGATTTTGAAATATTAAGTTTACAGCCAGAGCTCTCAGAAAAAAACCCAATAGTGTCGAATAATGATTTAAAAGAGTTATCTGAGCCATCAATAAAGCACGTAGAATCATCTGCTAACAAAGAAATTTTCAGTTCATTTTCTGCAACTGGGATACCTTGAATATTAGGATTTTGTCGAATAGCAAGAGCCATAGATTCAATAACTAGCAAAAATAAATATGGGGATATGGGACACCCTTGGAAAATACCTCTTTCCATATTAAGTGGTCTGGTCAAATTACCATAGTTAGATACATAACTTTTCCTACCGGAGTAAAATACTTTTATCCAATCAATGAATTCATTACTGAAATTGAATTTTCTTAGTACACAACATAGGAAATCATGGGAAACACTATCAAAAGCTTTTTGAATATCAAGGAGAAGGATTGCACCAGGAATTTGTTCTGATTCTGTATATTCAATTATATCAATAATTAATCTCACATTGTTTCCAATATTCCTTCCTTTTAAAAAACCAGATTGGTCTGGATGAATCAAATCTGAAAGGATTTTTTTTACACGGTTTGCTAAAGTTTTGGCTAAAATTTTGTAATCTACTGTTAACAGGGATATAGGTCTGAAATTTTTTAAGTAGGAGGCATCCCTGTCTTTTTTTGGAATCAAGGTAATAACTCCGTTTCTTTGTGAGCTAGACATTAGTCCATTCTGTAAGGAGAAATTAAATGAGTCTATAAGCATATCAGAAATATCTTTCCAAAACACAATATAAAATTCTACAGGTAATCCATCCAAACCTGGTGACTTGTTATGTTTCATTGAAGCAATTGTATCAAATAATTCCTTTTTAGAGATGGGTTTATCAAGAAGAACCTTATCAACTTCATTTAATTGAGGGAATTCAATAGAGTCTAAAAAGTCCTCCATTTCATTATCTGAATTATTGTCACCACAGTGTTTTGTGTAAAGGGTTTGATAAAATGAATTAATTTCCTCCAGTATAGCGTGTTGATTAACAATAATATCATCATCTTCATTCTTTAATTTGAAAATACTTTTCTTCTCTCCAGTTCTTTTTTCTAAATTACAAAAATATTTGGAGCTTTTTTCTCCTTCTTCAGCCCATCGAAGTCGTGAGCGAATAATTAAACCTTTGGTTTCCACATCTAAAATATCATTTAAAGCCTGGGTTAAAAAATCCTTTTCATTAATAAGCTCATTGTTATTTAAATCAGCACTTAATTTTTTCTCTATATCTTCTATTTCCGCCAAAAGGTATTTTTTTGCAAAATCCTTTTCCTTCTTTTTACGTGTACAATATTCTATACAAATGCCAGTAATGGTGCACTTTAAAGAGTCCCATAAAATATTTGGATTGCAATCGCTTTTGGAATGAATTAATTTAAAATCTTCTATTTTGTCAATGATAATTCTACTAAAGTCTGCATCATTATGTAAATATTTGCAATTCAGTTTCCAAAATCCTCGGCCCCTTAGTGGTTGAGCACCTTTAAAATTTAATGTAACAAGGGAATGGTCGGATTGGATTCCTGGGATTATTTTAGATTGCAAACAATTGGTAACAAAATTATCAGAAACAAGAATGAAATCAATCCTGGATAACACTCTAGGTTTTTTTTGATGTCTCGTATATTGCTTCAGGTTTGGATGAAAACTGCGCCAAATGTCACAAAGATTAAATTCATCCATAAGTGTTATTAACATTTCCTTTGATTTGAAATTTGAGTGGGTGTCCCTACCCCCTTGATAATCCATGGGCCCCAAAACAGCATTAAAATCCCCAGCGCATAGAATGGAGGTGTAATCGAGTTTATCCACTTTACTGAAAACTTCAAGAAAAAAATTGGGGTCATCATTATTTGGACCATAGAGATTAACTAAAATCATAGGTACCTCATTAATGGTAACAGATAAAATCAGGTATCTCCCATCGGGGTCAATAAAAGAAGAGTTAAGGACCAATGACACCCGATTTCGAATCAAAATGGCTACACCTCTACTATTTGAAGCGTGGCTAGAAAACCATGCTTTTTCACCCCATTGTTGTTTCCAAAATTGTTCATCTGATTTAGAAGAGTGAGTTTCTTGTAAAAATATTATGTCACTATTAATTGATCTTAAGTAATGAAAAAATTTTCTTCTTTTGACATGATCTTGTATACCCCGACAATTAAAAGTAGCTAACCTAACATTCATGGTATATACACATAAATACACACCAAATCACTACACTTGTAGATGAAGATAACACTGAAATAAGAATTGTGGTCATAAAAACCAGTCCTATGTAACAAAGCTGCAAAATACTGATTGCTGCATGATCATTTGAAATTAAAAAAGTAATTGACATACATGTAGATGTAAGCATCATCAAAACGACAAGATTAAGACAATAAAAAAGAGAAAAGGTTGCACGAGAACGAACGGCAAAGGCTTCAAATCATAAAACAGCCCAAACCAAAAGTGCAAAGGCATGCAGAACAGTTCTGAGCAGAAAAAAGGGTAAAGTGACTTTTCGAACTCCCAATCTAACTAGGAAAAGAGCATTCTGCAAACATATAACAAAAAATGTCTTGTGTTGTTGGAGTCAGAGGGAGAAACAGTAAGAATTACAGACAAAATGAAAATGGCACAGAACTTTTATACTGTTGTAAATTGTAACTGACCAGGGCCACTTAAACTCCACATCTTGTAAAATAAACTTAAATTACACTCTTATATGTTTAAAAGTTCACCCTCACCAAATAAAGGAGAGTTAGACATCTGTCAATAACATCCAAGTTACTGTCAACTAGCTTGTTAATGCAAGTTCTTTTGTACAGATGACATGAACGTACGGATGTATATTCTCCAAACAAAGTAAGAAACTTTCAAATAATGTGATGAATAAAAAATGTTGAGTGCTGTAGACTCCACGGTGAAATAGCCAGAAGCAATTAATTCACACCTACGTGTATCTCCATAGACCTATATAGGAATTCTTCAGCAGAACGTCATAAAACAAACATAATAATCAGGGATGAAACTGGAATGTCACATGAATGATATTATCCCATAAAAGGAGGACAGCAGAAAGTTAAGCGATGATCATCTTTCCATCTGGATTCCTATGACATAACTTGTCCGGAAAAACGAAAAAAGGCCTTTTGCCCTCTTCCTTGAGACGCTTGAATGAACCAGCCTTAGCTTTTCTGAGTTGGAGAACACGTTGCGAGAGATCCTCCGCAACGAAAACCTTGTGGTCTTGGTATAATGATGTAGTAGCCTTAAGCTTCTTAATGCAGGCTTTTCGGGCCCTCTCTTTCGCAGTGTAGGCGCCAAAACCTAAGTGGATCCTCCTGGGATATTGTTGAGAATTCTCCTTTACCTGGGGCCGAAATGATGGTGTACGGTGACATCGTTGAATATCCTTGATAACATCCTCAGGCACCTCTGCAAAACGCATGAAATCTTGAATCACCTTCCTGCAGTCTTCCTTGTTATCTGATTCCTGGATCCCAAAGACTACGAGATTATTTCTTCTAGAACGATTTTCAAGATCGTCTAACTTGCTTTCCAGCTTTCCATTCTCTATTTGCAAGGCCTGTACAGCATCTTTCATATTATCAACTTCAAAAGACAGACATTTGATCTTCTCTTCATGATCTGCGACTTTAAAAGTAAGGTCACCCAGTTTTTTGTCGAGAAGTGACTCAATACGAGCCTCTTGTCTATTCTCAAAATCAGCAAAGAATTGTACGAACCATTGTGGTGGCTTGTTCATTGATAGGTCGGCTACTGCCGCTGGGGTAGAGTGGGAAACTGATGAGAGAATGTTCCGTTTCGCTGGGGGGTCGCACACTGTAACGTTCCCGGCGGTTGCCGGGGAAGCCTGGTGAGGAACTGCTGAGTCCGCGTGCTCATTGTTCAACTTTAGTTTCTTACTGAGTGGCGAGTTATTCTCCATGATTACGCATAAATCTGCTCGTAATATTGACTATAAGTTTAACACAGTATCACAGAAGAGTTGAAATTGATAGAATTTACCGTTTATAAGTCACACATATTCGTCACCGGTGATAAAATTCTGCTCAAAACTGCTCTCGACGCAAATCACGTCCACATGCGAAACGCGGCCATTTTCCTCCATAATTTTGAGTCTTTGAAAATTCACGCAGTTCTAAGTTAGACTAAGATCTATCATCATTGAAAGTTTCATGATAATGGCTTTATTCAGTCTTGAGATATCCTGCGAACAAATTCGAGGAAGAATAATAAAAATAAATAATAAAGAAAAATCTTGACGAAATCAAAAGGTGATACGTTGACTTCGTTACGTATCACCTAACTAGACTTTAATTCGTCACTTAGACGAATTAGGTGATACGTATGATATTGGTTTACATAACGAAGAATGCATTTAATACACGATATCATATTATTTTATAAAATACTTTTCCCATTATGATCTATCCATATGTCAAGTTTAAATTGTGACGATCCCTTGATCATTATGGATCTAGGGAAGATAGATTGTAACAACATATGACCATTGACTCTATGCAGTAACCCGTTACACCTTTGACTCTAATTTACATCATGAAGAACACCTTTTGACGATTTTATCTTATTCAAAGAAACGAAAATCTAATTGATAAATGATTATCATCATTATGATAATGATGATCATGATGATGATGAAGATGATCATGACCATGAGCGTGATCCTGATATCTTATTGAAAAAATGAGGGTTGATTTAGATAGCATATAGTCTTAGCTACAACATACTTAAAATCATCAAAATCCAAGCAGAATTAATGGCGATATTGCTCGCAAAAGACAGGAATGTAGACTCCAGATTTGAGAAAAAGTCATCTCCCATAGGATTACACGCAAACAGTAATGGATTAAGTGAAAATAGGGTAATAATAAGGTAACAAAAGGGTTATTTATGACCTTATTTGCGATTCTACGTGTTTAAATAATCAAAGGAGATGGTACAGTGAAGGTCAAAAGGAAAAAAAAGTGAAGCAAAAAATTGTTGGAGACACCCGGACTCGAACCAGGGATCTCGAGGTTGGAAGTCAAGTGCGTTACCGATATACCAAAACATTTCCCATAGCGATTACACGTAAACGGGAAATGGAATTCTGAAGTCCTACTTTGCAAGTGAAATATGAGCATGATCCCGGCATAGGATCGAAAAATGAAGTACACATTTCGGATAGCTCATTGTCTCAGCTACAACATACCCGAAGCTCACTGAACACAAAGTTAACAAAACGGAGATGTTGCTCGCGAAAGACGGAAATGTAGAATGCAGTTTTGAGAAATAGTCATGTCCCTTAGACAATACACGCAAAATGTGAAAAATTGACATGCCTCCTTAAATCGCAAAAATATGCCACGATACCTTTGTCAAACTAGAAAATTGTTATTACTGCATTTGTAGGAAATCATCTCAGCTAGAACATATCAAAATTTGGAAGAAAAACAATCAATATTTACAGAGATATAATCAATTTTCCAAAAATATGCAAACGTCATAATATGCAAAATTCAATTTTGAGTTTGAAGGCCATTATGATAACATTATGACTTAATTGAGGGTCAAATGAGACATTAAATCATATCTTCATTCCAAAATCTATCCAAATATGAGAAAATATTAGGATTTTCTATATATTCTCAAAAGTTACAATGAATTTTATATAGGCATGTTTTTGCCCATGTATTGTGGATAAAGATAACGCAAATCCGCGCGTGCTGTCATCTTTGACGGACGCTCATTGCGTTAATAAAAGGTGAACGAATTATCAAAATGCTTGGAAATATGTGCCAAATATGATGTCAGAGAAATTCGGCGATTCTATGTTGCAAAATGCCAGTACGCGCGGAAACGCGCACGCATGCGCGTGTGCGCGATTTTTTTGCGAAATGCTTTAAATGGCCTGAAACGTATGCAAAAAAAATTAAGATGATTTAGAGCATTTTAATTTTTTGCGCGCGCATTAACACGCGCACGAACGGGTACGCGCGCGTTTACGCACGTTTTTTGACCTAAAATTGACCGGACGGATATTGATCTTAATCATGATAAATATGAATGAAAAATTACTATCTGTTATGAAGATATGATCATT